AGGTACCATGACATCAGTAGTCCTACAGTATGTCTGTAACAGGTACCATAACATCAGTAGTCCTACAGTATGTCTGTAACAGGTACCATAACATCAGTAGTCCTACAGATATGTCTGTAACAGGTACCATAACATCAGTAGTCCTACAGATATGTCTGTAACAGGAACCATAACATCAGTAGTCCTACAGATATGTCTGTAACATGTACCATAGCATCAGTAGTCCTACAGATATGTCTGTAACAGGTACCATGACATCAGTAGTCCTACAGTATGTCTGTAACAGGTACCATAACATCAGTAGTCCTACAGTATGTCTGTAACAGGTACCATAACATCAGTAGTCCTACAGATATGTCTGTAACAGGTACCATAACATCAGTAGTCCTACAGATATGTCTGTAACAGGTACCATAACATCAGTAGTCCTACAGATATGTCTGTAACAGGTACCATAACATCAGTAGTCCTACAGATATGTCTGTAACAGGTACCATAACATCAGTAGTCCTACAGATATGTCTGTAACAGGTACCATAACATCAGTAGTCCTACAGATATGTCTGTAACAGGTACCATAACATCAGTAGTCCTACAGATATGTCTGTAACAGGTACCATAACATCAGTAGTCCTACAGATATGTCTGTAACAGGAACCATAACATCAGTAGTCCTACAGATATGTCTGTAACAGGTACCATAACATCAGTAGTCCTACAGATATGATACATTCATGGAACTGGCCAACACTACAAGAAAGAAGACTACGTACAAGATTAATAATGTTCTACAAAATAGTCCATCAAATCGTAGCAATCCCATCTGCTATTCTCATACCATCAGACAGTAGAACCCGAAAAAATTTCACTTTCAGACACATTTCAACCAAAACAGATACATATACATTTTTCATTTTTTCCTTATACCATAACTCAATGGAATGTATTACCAATCAATACAGTCACTGTCACAACAGTCGACACTTTCAGAGAACAGCTCACACCAGCTGTTCTCCACAAATTCATTTAATTTTTACAAGCCTATGTACATAGTTTTAATCACAGTTTGAAATTTATGCATACCAAATCCATTTTTCATAATTTTTGGTATTCTTGTAAATATATATATAGGCCACGCTGCGCAAAACAGTAAATAATCTTCAGATCATTGAAGGACTACTGATAACCTAAAGAAGAAGAAGAAATTAACGCAGAAACGCGTACGTTATGTGTCTCAGGTTAATAACGTATCTTAGTTTAAACTTTGTTTTATTCACATCACATATGTAATACATAATACAAATAGGATTATACATAAATGAATTGGAGACAGAAACGAGTGTTAATACACTTATATAAATCTGTTACCTTTCATCGTAACCAACATTATCAACTATAGCTTAGGGATAGTGACGTGAATAAATTACAGGGGAAGTTAGAAGAGAGTTGGGGAAATGCAGTGTAAAAATATGGTACATGTACAAAATACGTTACATTCATAAAATCAATGTATTGTGGTCAAGAAAAATCTTTCTGTTGCGTCATCGTGAATACACTTTGTGATTGATTTTCATACTATTTCAAGGAAGGTATATATATGCATATAAGTAAGATCTAAACAAACAAGCTGCATTATAATGCTTACATAAAATAAACTCTATGATAATCATAATCATGTGGATGTTTTTTCCCTAATCAGACAGTCGTTGTGATACATGCAGACTGTTCACATTCCATACACTATTGCTGATCAATTGTTCGTCACATCCCGTGCCTTAATATGTCATTCTCCTGTTCTTTCTTGTCCTCCTGGTATATCCGTTTCGACTAGACTGTTTGCATCGGGAAAGACCATCTACATGACTTACTTTACATATGATATATGTTATCATATGTATACAAGGGGCATTGATTAAGAATCTTATTCAAAGACGTCATAAGATAATAAATCGGAAGTCAATTGATCAATTGCTATGTTAGCAACTCTGCTATTTCATCTTACATATGCTCGCACACAAACTTCCATGTATGCATACCCACATTTATCATAAACACATATATCTATCATGCATACATACATACACACACACACACGTTCGTAAGTACATACCTACCCACCTACATACATACATAAATTATATTTACTTGCGCACATGAGTATTTTGGGACTAATGAAATCAGGTCCAACAGCTTTACTGCAGTCAAGGTGAGAAAGAACCTCATGGACATCAGTTTTCGATATATGAATTGCATTAAGTTACTTTGATTTTGAATTTCTATGGGAGGAGGGATATCAGTTGAAGAGTCATCAACTGAGGACTGGAGAAATATTCATTAATCACGTTTGCTTTATCGACATCGTGCTCATAGTAATTATTATCATAAAGAATAGTTGGGATTTCATCAGATTTACCCATATCCTGCATAAATAGTTTTACGGTCTGCCACCAGGATTTACTCTTAAAATCTGGATCGACTAATTTAGTGGATAACTTGTTATAATGTTTAATTTTTGATTGTCTAATTATATTTACACACCTATTACGAGTCTGTCTGAACTTTAACCAGTCTGAAGATTTGTTAGTTACTTTAGCTTTTTTATGATTTTTTTTTTACGTTTAGATATCATAAGCCGTATTTCATGATTCATCCATGGCTGGCCGTTTTTTCGTATAAGGACGTTTTTACTAGGGACAGAAGAAGTTGTACAAGCATTAATATGATTATTCAGGAAGATAATTACTGAGTCTATGTCAGCCACATCGGTGAGTGACAAATCGATTTCAGCCAGTAAATTTCTCAGTTTATTGTAATCGCCATATTTATATAACCAGATCTTCCTTCTGTAACAGTCGCGTCGGATACGGTCTTTTTAATATTTAGTGACGCATAAATTGGACAGTGATACCTTTTCGGTTGGTCTAGAAAAGATTCTCCTACGTATGATCTGTCTAACATGAAGTTGTTGTTTACTAAAATAACATCAATTAATGATGAGGTGTGTTCAGTATAATGAGTACACTCTGTAATTAATTGCTGTAGTCCGTAAACGGTCATATTTTTTTCAAAAATAATTTGAATTATGGGTTCGGGCTAACTGATTTACATTTATATGACCAGTTATAACTATATTATTTATACCTGTGTTACTAGCCTTTTCGACAGATTCCTCATTTTTTTCCCACCAGTTAATATCATAGTTTGGAGGTCTATAATATGTTCCCAGTAGAATATGTATTCCACGTGTAACTAACTCAATCCACATGCGTTCTACTTGATTAATTTCCAAATCAACTCTACGCTTAAAAAATAAAATATTTTTCACTTAAACCGCTACGCCCCCTCCTGCTTGGTCGCTCCGACAGTAGCAGGCTGGATTTTGAAAACCCAGGATGTTTATAGATGAGTTTATGTCGGAGTCTGTAAGCCAGTAAGGGTTTGTGCTGTGTGAGGTAAAGTGGTTGCGCATGCGTCGTTCATATAGAACGACCTGCATGCACAACCTCAGGTATACGTTCTTTCACTCAGGTGTGACATAACATGCTCACATACATGTGGCAAAGCCCATGTACTGGGTGACCCTAGGTATAAATATACACCCAGTCTACAAGTGTATAGCACATCTAGTTTGGGACGTAAACTTTGGACGTTTAGATGTACTAATGAATGAGTCTTTTGAAATAGGGTGAACGAACTAGAATCGGAAGAGAGAGAAGAATTGGATGATGTAGAGTTGGAAGGGCCGGGATTAAATTCAACATCACCACATTGTAACAAAAATAGGGACACATGTATTAGGATGTATGTTGTAAGCTCAGTCACTAAATGTAGTATAGCTTTGTGAGGGGGGAGTTTCCTGTATGGTATTTCAGAATCGTCGTTTGTTATCTGCATTGCTTTTGATTTCGCAACGTCATAAAATAGGCCTATTCTTTAGCGATGCATGTCAGGACTTATAGGCATTCAAAATAATATTATACCAGTTTGTGGCTTGCACCGCCCAAGAAGGCCCAACTGACCTATACATTAACCACAAATTAAATCTGACCATACGTAGACACATATATATCCCAATATACCATTAAAACACTGCATTTCATTGAAAAAGACATACATATAAGTAGTAATAACATAAGACATCTGATATATATACAAACATTGATGAAAACATTATTGTTAACAGAGTTAACCATGGAAATAATTAGATACTAGAAAATATGTATCTGAAAATAGAGATTACATGTGACCTAGTACTGCGCTTTACTAATCAAGCATGGAATTTATTACGGATATGATGTTGAACAGTGAGTGGGGAACAGCAAGTTAGCTACAGTGAATCTGATAACGGACAGCAATTACTATTGCATTGAACAGTTGCTAGCTAGTTAGATACTTATATTCGGTATACGTAGTTAAACGTTCGTAATTAAGTACCGGGCTCATCATCTAGTCAGGAGAATGGCGTATGATAATGGTATCGGTATGCATTATGTAGATAATCATATTGATATAATCTTAGCTTACTTGTAGCTCAGTACTAAACTTTAGTAATAGAACTTAACGTCAGAGTCGTTAAAATGACGTTCCGCGGCAAAGGGTAGGGATAACAGGTAAGCAATGTGGTATCCGATACTATCTAACATATTCACAATTGAACTAATATAAACATATATAAACAGTTTATCATGTTGATACTTATGATTTGATAATCTAACGTTTGCAATAAAGTACAGGGCTTTGCTAAACCATCGTAAACATTAGTTAGGAAAATGGCGTTTGATAATGGGAAGGGATGTGAGTTTAATCTTAATTGATTTTGACAGTGTTACGTCCGCGATTACAATCTTTTGGCCTTTTCAGCACACGATTGATTGATTGATTGATAGGTTTTACGTCCGCTTCACTACCGAGTAGTTCGGTTATCCAGCAGACGTACATTGTATGCAAGTACTTATAGTGGTGTGCGCCCTAAGGTAGTTATCTCCCCTATTTTACTCAAACAAGTAGGAAGTTGACATCCCAGCTGCTGTACGCTGAAGTCTGAAGATTAGTGGACAGTCCAGTTAGGATGCTGACGTGTGTATTTAAGTGAGTGATTGACCGTGAGTGATTGACCTAGTGTTTATCTATTACGTCTGGACACGGTTAATATTAACAGAGGAAGCTATATGTGTAACCACAGGTAAGACATAGCCAGCTAGGGTAGCCCGAGTTTCCTCTGGCCTAGTATATAATACCCGCCCTCCTCTGCGCCGGCCGGACGATGCAGTATATAAAAAAAAATCTCTCGTCGTCAGAAAGCTACGCTACCTCTTGCCTTGACACAAAACTTAGACATTTTGACAGATAGATGTCTGAGGGTGGCACGACCTAAGACCAAATCCAAATAAGACCACAAAAAACCACAGACGACACTTAAATATTATTCAGTAAATATTATAATGTAGTAACCTAATTTTCTGCAAACGCAAAATAGATTGAAATAACCACGGATTACATTATCTAAGTCTGTGAAATAACCAAAACCTTAAAAAAACAAGTACAAATTTAACACATATATAACAATGTCCTCTTTAGAGCAACTGCACTTATCAAATATAAAAGAAACATAGGCTACCTACAAATGTATGTCAAATAATGTGGAAAGAGTGAGAAAAATACCATCTTATATAACAAATATCGATCTTCAAAACAGTAAACTTGTTTGCAGGGGAAGCAACTCAAACATGTATAGTTAATATTACTCGCGTCACTATAACTATCCAATAAACGGGAAACATCATTATGTTACATAATGACAGGTAGCAGAAATATAAATATCTATGTATATTAGTGGTTTTGTGTGTTTTTGGGTGAATTGTGCTGCCGAACGACTGACATCGTCTAAGTCTGGTATCAAGGCCAGAAGAAACTTGGGCTAAGCCTAGGGTCTTGTTGACTTTAAAGAAGTTTATTTCGGAATAACTGACTATCTCCTTTTTTGATCTCATCCCCATCTTAATCTTTCTAAAAGTATAGTCAATTCTTTCGGTTTAAGTTGACTGAGAACAATCAATATTTTGATATTTTTTTTCAGAATGCACACAGAAATTACACAAGGTGGCTCCATTCACTGTGATCCAATGCAAGCCACTGGAAGACGGTCTGATGAGGAAACCATGACAAACAAATTTACGGTGTACACAGTGATGTTGGGCACTGAATGACGAGCTGAGAAAACCATGACAAACAAACAAGTGACAGTGTCTGATATTATGTAAGTCAACTGTTCACAGTGGAATCAGTCTGTAAGAGGTGGTGGGGGGTACTTATATGTAACAGAGCGCATGATTAATTAAATATAAATCACTCCCTCCGCATGGGATCGAACCCGGGACCTCTGGCTTACTAGTCTAACGCTCAACCGATCGAGCTAAAGAGAAGTTCTCTATAGCCGAGCGATATATTGCGGCTAGTATTTACCAGGGTTACATACTCCCCCTTCCAGGAAAGAACTCGTCCTCGAGTTTTTCCAGGGGTAACAGCGATGCTTGTGGAGCAAGGCCGAGTATTTTTCCCGGGTCCCTACGTGGGCGCCAATGTAACAGAGCGCATGATTAATTAAATATAAATCACTACCTCCGCATGGGATCGAACCCGGGACCTCTGGCTTACTAGTCTAACGCTCAACCGATCGAGCTAAAGAGAAGTTCTCTATAGCCGAGCGATATATTGCGGCTAGTATTTACCAGGGTTACATATACAGTGTTTAACTCATTCATCCCTGAAATTTCATCATGAACTATTCCAACCTTTGAATTGGAAGAGTTCAAATGTGTCTTCAGAGGTGAATGAGTTAATAGGATTTAATCATAATATATATATAGGATATTAATGGAGGCAGGCATTGCTGCCTTTATATTCACATCAATAATATGAAAAGGCAAAGCCTTAAAAGAGCAAAGCTTTTGTTGATCTCTGATATTTACTGATTCAGAATGAGATAATACTGCTTTCAGAATGAGGTAAGATAAAATTTATTTTAAGTCGGCTAGTCGATGGATAACAATAAAATATAAACTCTAATGACATTAAGACCGACATAACAATAGGGAAGATCGGGGAAAATTCAGCCCTTTTTTAAAGCCTGTTTTGGGAAGTATGGCAGCGCATCCGTTTTTGAACATTATTTAATTTTCCCTGTCGGATGATTGTATGGCTGAACGAGCCCCCCCCATGGGATAAGTTCGGACAGGCGTTCCGGTAAATTAGGCCCCATTGGAACATGCAACATCAGATTTTACCGCCAATTTTATGACTTTTTATGTGTTACATTGGCCGAACTTGCCACGGTATCATTTGCCGAAACTGTCCGGGCCCAAATTGATGTTTAATAAATTCTTATCATACAGCATTATGGTACTGAGTGCTTGGCTTTGCTTTTATGTATATTATTTGAAGCTGTCAGTGTGTTAACGTTTGATCTTAAAAAATAGCAATTCTGTTTACAGAAAGCTCGCATAACTAGTAGCAAGATCATGATTTTCTTTCTACCCTCTCAAAAGTAATTTTCTCCTGTTTAGTAATTTTACATTAGAGTTTTCCTCGTCATTTTTTTCGTGTGAATGTCCAGCCAACTAAACTGCTAAGATGATGGCTGAACTTGCCCCGGTCTCACGTATGTAGATTTTTTGTATCGTTGATGATTGCTAAAAATGTATTCGCAATATAACTTTTGCATCAATGACGCCATTTTCAAAGATAAAGTAGATTTAACCAAGATGGCCGGATTCAATCCCGGTTACCTGCCCGACCATGCAGGTTTTCTGGGGATACTCCAGCTTCCTCCCACATGAAGAATTAAATCCCCTGCGTGCTTCCGTCAGGTCACAAAAAGAATGATTGAAAAAAGTTGTGGAAAAACTGTTTGGTAATTGCTATAGAAAAAAGTGCATATTACATAATTGACGAAAAGTCTATAAAAGTAAATGTATAGAGATGTTAGTTAAAAAATAAAATTAAAAAAACAACACATTGTAATACCTTGATGTAACTGAAATTGTCGTTATATCGATATGTAGTCTGAATTTCTGTTCAATCCTGAAACACCGGATTGAATTTCAAGTTTTGTAACTGTCACTGAGGTTTTACAGGTAATGATGCCATAAAAAAATTACACAGTTTCTGTCTGTAACTAGTTATAAATCGGCATGTGTTGTGAACAAGTATTACGTTGCTGAAAAATGGCGTTGAACTCTGGTTCGTTGTCTGGACGATTATTGTTGATTTCGACATAAATGAATTCTCCATTGTTTCTTTCATGAGTAGTGATCCATACATAAATTATGTAAAGACTATAACCCGACTTCCAAAAATGTTAATTATTTCATTCCTATTCTCAACAAATCGAAATCAGAAGCTGATGAAATTTTAGACGAAAATTAAATGTATACGTTGACCTATTGGTTTAATGCGGCTCTTTTTGAAGATATCTCCCGGTAGAAATATGAACAGAACCTGGTTGATGACAAAAAGGATCTTCAGAAGACATCCGCGTTTTTACTTTTTGTGCCTAAGGCAAAAACTGAAATTTAAAAGTCCTGAAGCACCGACAAAGAGATAAATGCAACGGCAATCGGTTCCAAGATTTTCCGGTTATTTTTCATCCTTCCGGATATAACCGATGAAGGCCGATGGAGTGTGGCGTGCTTTGATAAAAAAAAATCACTCAGAATGTATATTAGTTTTTACCTAAATAAACAAGTTATAAAACATGGGTATTGTTTTCACTATATGAAGATGTTCATGTATGGGTTGAAACACAATTGTGTTTGCTTCAAGGATACACTTAATCCTATTTCCCCACTGGACGTCTACTTCTGGACGAAAAAACTTAAAGGCAAGGTGTAGCAAGGGGAAGCAACTATGTTTACGCACGCATGTGTTAGCATTAAAGAGCTTCGCTTTGGCGCCGAAGATACGCTCTTATAATTTGAAATACATTGTGATAAACATAAAATAAGTCTATATAAATGCTGTATGATCATACTTCAACTCAAGATCTTTCCAGAATTTGTCGAAGTTTTTCTCAAAGTCAAATACTTAGTTAGTGCTACCCATATGTTTATCTTGTTCGGTCCTGATTCATTGTAATTAGCCAGAGTTTCCTCTGGCCCTAACACCAGACGTAGACATTTTGACATAGCTAGATGTCTTGTGTGGGCCCAGAGCGCACTGCTGTATGAAAACGCGGAATGGTCCGACATCATTTGGTGTGGGAGGGTTTTGAGGTGCTGACAACAAAAATTGACTATGACACAACACATACCTCACATATATCGATAATAGGTTATTTATTGATCCAAATCTGCTCTTATTATCATAAACAGCTGCTTAATTCCGTCAGTAGAGTCCTGAATTACTAATGAAAATAAAAGACACTCGTCAGTCCAATTTTACTTGTCCATATGCCAATTTCACTAACCCAATATTATTCAACATTGTAAGTCATATCAAATGTTCCGGTAACTGCATTGAAGGTCAAGGTCACTGTTACTATTTTTAGAAAACATTTTGTCGTCATTCAAGAGACTTCATTCCTCAACGGAATTTCATTTAACTTTATACTAGTGTTTGGTATGGCAATGCCTTGAACAAGTTTGCGTTTCGGGTTTCTACGTTGAAGGTCAAGGTCACTGTTACTCTTTTTAGAAAAACTTTGTCATCACTTTTGCGACTTCATTCCTCATTGGAATTCATTAAACTTAATACAATTGTTTTGTATGACAATTTATGCCTTGAACAAGTGCGCGTTTCAGGTTTCTTCGTTGAAGGTCAAGGTCACTGTAACTATTTTTAGAAAAACTTTGTCAATGCTCTTGCCACTGCATTCCTCAGCAGAATTTCATGAAACAAGTGTTTGATATGACAATTTATACCTTGATACAAGTGTTTGGTATGACAATTTATACCTTGATACAAGTGTTTGGTATGACAATTTATACCTTGATACAAGTGTTTG